AAAAAAAAAAAAAAAAAAAGCCTCTGCACTGGCCAAAGCCAAGGCACATGGCCCCTGCCACGGTCCCAAGGCCGTCCTCCCTCCAAGGCCGCTGCCCATCTGCCACCTCTCCTGAGCTGGGACAGGATGGTGTGCTGTGCCGGGGGCTGCGTGCAGCTGACAGTCCCTCTGAGGGCACCTGAGCAGGGCCTTGGGCACAGGGAGGCTGCAGACTCTGGACAGGGATTCGAAGCTCAGACAGGGCCCCGGGACAAGGGCATTTGCCGGGCACAGCAGGAACATGGTGGGAGAGCCCTGGCCTCCCAGGCACCCTGAGGTCACAAGCACAGGCCAGGTGCCCCAGGGAGCAGGCGATGCCCAGAGACTCGTCCAGCCGCCGGCCGCAGGAACTGCCATGGCCCCGGGCTGGGCTGGCATCTGGGGACACAGGTGACAGGAGCTCAAAGTCCAGAGGGAGGGCCAGCGGGGCGAGGCAGAGGTGCGAGGTGCTGGTCACAGCTGCAATCCTGGAGGGCAGAGGGCAGCCTGGCCTCGGGCGGGTGCCTTCCATTCCATTCCCACCGCCCCGAACCCTCCTCCAGGAAGAAGCCAGTCTGGACTCCCGGACCTGGACTCATTTCAGCCCGGGGCTTTCAGGAAACAACTTCTAGTCCTGCTCTCTGAGTCACGGTTGCACTGGGCAAGAAACGTCCCCAGATCTGATTGCGTAGTGTTTTTTCCAATTCCTGAATGTCCACACTCGCATTTCCTCCATAGTTATAGGGAACCCCACACTTAGGCAACCCGGTGCTCGGTGAGGACGGCCCCTCACCACACGGACCAGTCTCCGCGCTGTGCCCCCCCCACCCCCTGGTCCACTGGCAGCTGAGCATTCCTGGTCTTTCACGGTGGAAGCCAGCATGCCTGCCTCCTGGCCACGCGAGAACCCGGGTGCCCTACAGCCCCTCCCAAGCCTCTGAAGTCTGAGCCGGGAGACCCTCGCCTGCTGAGTCACGGTGAGGCCGGCCCGGAGGCGGGAGGAGCCGGCCGTGTAGACCTCTTTGCTCCCGTCCACCTCTGGTCCTTGTCCCCTCACGCAGCAGGACCCTGCCCACAGAGAAGCCACCGCCCAGCCTGGGACTGTCCTCCCCCCATGACGAAGCACTTTTGGGCCCAGTCGGCAGAATGCTGAGTCACCGGTGGC